ATCTTTCAAAAGATGGGGCGACGCGCGAGCGCGCGTCGTCGCGCGCGCGCGCCGGAAGCCCCAACGCGCCCGGGCCCCGTCAGGGCGCCAAAAGCAAGCGCTCCGAAAACATACATTTGACACCAACGGTTGCGCCCCAGGATGCCCCCCGACAAATGCACGCGCTCGCGCTCTTGCGAATTTTCGGTAACGCCATAGTTATCCCAAGTGTTAGCAAGCGTGTAGTCCGCGCCCGCAAATCGAAATCGCGCGAACGCCATCGCGCGCGTGCTTAGTTTCTTACGACTTGTCGGGCGGCGCGCGCGCGTCTTTGCGCTCGCTTGCCGAAACCATCGGCACGTCCTGGGTTTCGCAAGGATGTCAAAATCGAGATTCCAGATTACATATGAAAGCAACCCGGATTCCGCAATCGCAATTTCTTAGCGACCCCAGTGCTCGCGATCTTGCGCGTTCCCAATCCAAACGCCGGTCGTCCAACGCTGGCATCAAACGGTATCAAACGCGCCTCTCGCGCGCGCGTGTCAAAAATCTTCGAGCGCCCAGGCGCGCGTGCTGGGGGGCACGAACCCTTTTCAAATCATGCCGCGCGGGCCTCGCGCGCGCGTCGGCCGGGCCCCCGTCGAAATCTCCATCGCAACCTCCATGGCCGAAGCGAGGACACCACCATCGCCATCGGCGCGATGAGCATCGGCGCAGCCAGCGCCTTTGCCATCGTCGTTGTCATCATCGCCGCCAGCATCGCCATTATTATCATCGCGTCTGCCATTGCCGACGTCGCCATGATACCGCGCCCGCCCGAATCACCGACTCGCGTTGATATGCCCCCGCGTCAGCGCTGCCTTCGAGATGCGCCGGGGAATCCCCAGTGGTCAGCACCGCCGCGGCCGCGTTGGCCGCGCCAGAGTAGCTGGCCGCTCTGCGCGCGAGCCTGCGCGCTAGCGCGGCGGCGGCGATGCGCCAGTCAGTGCCGAGATGTCATCGCAATCGCCGGCGCATGGTCTGTCCTGCCAAGTTGCGGGCGGGAGGGCGCGTGCGAGGATTGCCCGAGCAGCGGAGTTGACAATGTCAAGTTCGGCAGGGCGAGTGGCGCCCCATCGTTTGCCTTTCGCGTGTATTCATTATAGAAAGGAGAGAGGACTGCTCCCCCCCGTTTATCGGCCCCCCTTCTTCGCATTGCAGTTTGCAGATGCTTCTGCCCCATCGTCCATCCTAAATATGAATTCATACCATCCCAGTCACGCCGGCATCCGCGCCCCCCCCCCCCCCCCCACCCCGCCCCCCCCACCCACCCCGCCATCCTTTGCAGCAAAATCTGCGCGCGCACTCGTTCATCAAAACTCATGAGCTCCCAAGTATCCTTTGCAAATGCTGGACGAAGTGCACGCGCGCGCGTCGTCGCGCGCGCATGCCGAAATCCTTCGCCAATTTTCGGTTGCGTAAAGATTTCAAAATCGAGCGCCCCAGAGAAATTATAAAACAACACCGGGGCTCGCAGCGCGGATTTTCAAAAACAACAAACGCGCGCGCTGTTGCGAATTCAGAAGAAGGCCGTAGGAATTCACAAGAAGGTACTGGGCGTTTTGTCAAATCGAAATCGTTCGAACGCCCTAGCGCGCGTGCTGGGGTGGCACGATTCGCGCCAAATGAAACCATGCGGGCCACTCTCGCGCGTCTGCCGCGCGCGCATGTCGAATTCATTCCAAAACCTTCATCACCGACGCGAAGACGCCGTCATCGTCGCCGGTGTTCTTAGCATCGGCGCCGTCATTGGTTGCCCCGTCGTCTTTGCCAGCATCGGCGCCGGCATCGCTACTATCATCATCGCGCCCCCTACCGTTGTCGACGTTGCCATGATACCGCGCCCGCCCAAGTCGCCGACTCGCACTGGAGTGCCCGCTGAATTGTGCCGAGCGGTCAGCGCCACCGCGTTCGCGTCGGTCGCGCCAAACTAGCTGGCCGTTGCGCTCGCGAGCGCGCGCGGGCCAGTGCGGCCGCAGCGATACACCAGCCAACACCAAGCACTCAACGCAATCGCTCTTTGCAAACCAAGTTGAGGGTGGGTGGGTGGGATGATTGCGCGAGCAATGGGGTCGACAACGTGAAGACTGGTAAGGTGAATTCCACCACATAGATTGCTCCACGTATACAGCGCAACATAAATTGCACCACGTAGATTGCACCACGCTCATGGCACAACCTAGGCCGCACTACGCCGATGCCACCACACAGATTGCACAACAGAAACTTGCAGTACTCTTATTTCGCACCGTAACTTGCACCATATAGATTGCCCAACGTGTATTTCACATCGCAGAGTGCACAGCGTACGTTGCACATCATTTATGGCACATAATGCATGGCACCACATAAATTGCACCATATATATATATATATATATATACGAGATTGCATTGGCGTTGCGCGCCATGCACCTTGGTCCTTTGAGTTCTGCACGCGAGCGGAATGCGTGCGTGCGTACATGCGCGCATGCATGTATACACGCGCGTGTGCATGCATGTTCCGTATGCGTGTCTAGGGGTATACAATATATTTACATTGTTGCATGTGTGTATACAGCGTACACATGTGAATATAAATGTATGTGTGTAAGGGTATGAACATGCATATGCAACTCTTACGGGGCATCCTCGGGCATCTTCGCTGAATGCCACGAGACCCTCAACGAGTGGGTCACAATGTGGACTGTCATGTGAGCAAAATCAATGAATGTGGGCATTCGGAAACATCGTGGGGGTGTTTTCGGGGCCCTCGTGGGCCGTTTTGGCGCCTTCATGGGCCGTCCTGGGTGGGGTCTTCTTGGGCCGTCTTGGGGAGCTTGGGCCCGCTGGAACCCCCTTTGGACCCATCTTGGGCACTTCCGGGGACCTCCTTTGGCCCTTTTGGGTCTGTGCTGGGAGCCTTTGGGGGGAGCATCTTGGTTCCATTCTGGGGTATCTTGGGGCTCTCGTGGGCGATCGTGGGGCCCGGCTCGGCAGTGTTGAGGCTTTCTATGGGGGCCTTTTGGAGCGTCTTGAGGCGATCTCGGGGGCTTTGAAACCGTTTTGAAAGTTGATGAAACCCGAAAGGCGAATATGCTAAACTTGTACGTTTTACGGAGGGAATGCCCCTTGGGAGTCTTTATGTGGGCATTCGGAAACATCGTGGGGGTGTTTTCGGGGCCCTCGTGTGACGTTTTGGCGCCTTCATGGGCCTGTCCTGGGGCCTTCTTGGGCCGTCTTGGGGAGCTTGGCGCTGGAGCCCCCTTTGGACCCATCTTGGGCACTTCCGGGGACCTCCCATGGCCCTTTTGGGTCTGTGCTGGGAGCTCTTGGGGAGCCTCTTGGTTCCATTCTGGGCTGTCTTGGGGCTCTCGTGGGCGATCGTGGGGCCCGGCTCGGCCGTCTTGAAGCTTTCTTGGGGGCCTTTTGGGGCGTCTGGAGGCGATCTCGGGGGCTTTGAAACCGTCTTGAAAGCTGATGAAATCCGAGAGGCGAATATGCTAAACTTGTAAGTTTTACGAAAGGGAATGGGACGATTTTTGTGTTTTGAAGGCCCCTTGGGAAGCTTTTTGGGGTGCCTTGGGGGTCTTTATGTGGGCATTCGGAAACATCGTGGGGGTGTTTTCGGGGCCTTCGTGGGCCGTTTTGGCGCCTTCATGGGCCGTCCTGGGGCCTTCTTGGGCCGTCTTGGGGAGCTTGGGCCCGCTGGAACCCCCTTTGGACCATCTTGGGCACTTTCGGGGACCTCCCATGGCCCTTTTGGGTCTGTGCTGGGAGCCTTTGGGGGGAGCATCTTGGTTCCATTCTGGGCTGTCTTGGGGCTCTCGTGGGCGATCGTGGGGCCCGGCTCGGCCGTCTTGAAGCTTTCTTGGGGGCCTTTTGGGGCGTCTGGAGGCGATCTCGGGGGCTTTGAAACCGTTTTGAAAGTTGATGAAATCCGAAAGGCGAATTTGCTAAACTTGTACGTTTTACGGAGGGAATGGGGCGGTTTTTGTGCTGTGAAGGCCCCTTGGAAAGCTTTTTGGGGTGCCTTGGGGGTCTTTTGGGCCGTCCTGACGCAATTGGAGTCCCTCTTGGAGCGCTCTTGTGCTGTCTGGGGCCTCCCTTGAGCCTTTCTGATGACCCCTCGGATCGCTCCGGGTCTGCTGGCAAGGTGTTTGTGGAGATCCGGAAAGCCGGGTGACCTTTTCCAAGGACGTCCAAGGGAACCCGAGAACCTCAGATCCCGGGGGTCCAGTTTTTTTTGGGGGGGGGTGAGGGTTTCCCCCCCCCTGGGATTGTAAAAATATAGGAAGAGGAATATATGTATACATGGTCGACCATATATATATATATATATATGTGTGTGTGTGCGTGTGTTGACCTACACATGCTGCACCACATGGAATGCCCCTCGTACACGTCACTACATTGATTGCACAACATCGATCGTAATACTCATGTGCCACAACATATATTGCACGCCATAGCTTGCACAGCACATGACGTGCAACATTAAATTTCGCCGCATATGTTGTACTACATTGGTTGCTCCACACTGGTGGCGCCACACAACTTGCTATACTGTCAGTGTTTGGGGCCCGCGCTGTTTACTATAAACATAAATACTTGTGCAACGTGCCGTTATGTTTCCCCCTCTCTCTTTCGCGCTGCAGAAATACATCCGCATTTCCCTTGTTGTTCTCTCTCGCTCTCATGTTCTCTCCTCTCTGCATTTTCGCACCCCTGTCATCCACCTCTTGTTCTTTGTCGGCCTTCTCCGCATGTTCCTCCCCCTTCCCCTCCCTGCTGCGCAGCGCGTGGAGAAACAACAAAGGATGAAGAAGATGAGGGCGACGAGCATGAGGACGTGGAGGCGGAGCAGGAAGATGATCACGACGACAACAAGCATGAGGAGCAGCAGGGGGAGGAGCAGGAGGACGACGTGGAGAGGAGGAGGAGGAGGAGGAGCAGGAGGACGAGGAGGCCCTTGACTGCACGTCATCGCCGCTTCTTGTCGACAGGATTCCTGCCGTTGCATCGGCATCGATGGGCAAGAGGGCCAAACCATGGTGAAGGTGGGCGGCAAGATGCAGGCTATCGGCAGCGCGCTGCTTTTGCGCCTGCCATCCCAGAACCCCGACATCGACGTCTCTTTGTTTGTTCGCAACTTGGGCCCGTAGAGGTCTCAACCGTCTTCCGCGGGCCGGCTCTTCATCCCGTATCGGTGTTTGACGGCGCCAGGGCCCAACGAGGGGTTTGTAAGGTCGAAGATTGCCCATTACGATTTGTGGTCGTATTGTTTCTTTGCAGCGCGCGGCGGGCTGGGTGCAGGCAATCCCCGGGCCGCCTGACCAGGTGGTTACTTCGGTGCCCCTCCGTTGCCCCGTCCCCCTCCTCCCCGTCTCCCTCAGCCGCGGGGCTCCCCGTTCGCATGGTACGAAACAATGAATGCCGCACGGCCTTATCGAGCGCCCTCTCTCTACTGCCCCGCGACGCGGCGCGCAGTGGCGCTCCCCGCCCCTCCTCGTCCGGCTGCCTCCTGGTGCAGCGCCGCGCGGGTGCCGTGGCCGGGGAGCCTTCGCCTCCGCACCGAGGGATGCGGCCCTGCGAGTTTTTGGGGGGCGCGAGGGGGGGCAGAGGGAGAGGGCGCGGCCTCGGGACGGGTGCCCAGGCCTCTGTGCGTGTGTGTGCGTGTGTGTGTGTGTGTGTGTGTGTGTGTGTGTGTGTGTGTGTGTGTGTGTGTGTGTGTGTGTGTGTGTGTGTGTGTCTGTGTCTGTGTGTGTGTGTGTGTGTGTGTGGGTGTGTGTGTGTGTGTGCGTGTGCGTGTGCGTGTGCGTGTGCGTGTCCGTGTGCGTGTGCGTGTGCGTGTGCGTGGGCGTGGGCGTGGGCGTGGGCGTGGGCGTGGGCGTGGGCGTGGGCGTGGGCGTGTGTGTGTGTATGTGTGTCTGTGTGTGTGAGTGTGTGTGTGTGTGAGTGTGTGTGTGAATGTGTGTGTGTGTGTGTGTGTGTGTGTGCGCGGGCTGCCCCGTCGCCCCTCGGAGGGCAGCCGAAAGGGAAGAGAGGGGGCTTGGCATCGCTCGGACGTGTGCATTTTCTTCTCGGCGCGGACCACAGGAGCATCCTGGCTCATCTTGCGAGAGGGAGTAAAGACACTCGCGAAGTCGAGCAATTCACGGGGAAAGGACGTCCGAGCGATGGCGAGTTGGTGGGTGAGGGGGGGGCGTGGGCGGGGGAGGGGGCGGAGGCGAATGGGTCGGACCACGGAGGCGAGGGGACCAAGGATGCCATGGGCCTGTACAGGCTGGGTCCCACTGCTCACATCAAATATCTGCAATGGATTCTCTGATGGCCTCGGCAAGCTGCTGACACATCCTGGGCGGGTAGGTGTTTCGGAAGTTGGTCCTGAGGGTGCCAAAGCAGAGTTTGCCCAGGAGCATTTGATGGGTGCGGTCAGGACTTGCCGTGGAGCCATGAAGAGTGCTGTTAGGTGGATGAAGTGGGGGAAGAGGGAGCGGGGTGGAGGGAGCGGGGAGGATTCAGGGAGGACGGTGGGAGGGTGGGCAGGAGGGGGAGATGGAGAGGGCGAAAGAAGGTACCACTCGGGCCATCGCGAGACACGAGGCTGCCTGGGCTGCCGCCTGTCGTAAAACAACGGGCGCACGACATTCTACCGCAGTGCGGACTGCACGGGAACCGAGGAGGTCCACCTCCTTCTCTTCCTCGTCTGTGAATGCGGCAAGCGGTTAGGGCCAACACTTTGAACCTAAGGCGAAAGCAGAAGCAAAAGTCGTCGTCGTCATCATCCTGATCATCAGGATCATCATCATGATGATGATGATCATCATCATCAGCAGCATCATCAGCATCAGCATCATCATCGTAATCATCATCAGCATCAGCATCCTCATCCTCATCCTCCTCTTCATCCTCATCATCATCATCATCATCATCATCATCATCATCATCATTATCATCATCTGTTTGTCAGTTTGGCAGCAGATCATGCGGCGGTGAACACATTCTTCATTATTTCGAATGCCTTGTTTCTCGACGCCATCAGTAATGTGCTGCCTCAATGGTCCGAGGACTCTCGCGAGTAGTCTGCTTGCGAGAGATTGTTGCCTACCTTCTGTCGTGCCTCCACCTCCTCCTCTGTCTTCTCGGCGCTTCTTGCACATGATATTGTTCTCAGTACGTTCAATACACGTCGGGGTCTAAAGCGATTTAGCCTCAAATGCGTTGTTGCCTTCTTGAAAGCTTGAGCGAGGGCGATTGCAAAGCGCAAGCCCGCCATCCGAGCACTGGTCATCATCGTCGTCCTCATTTCCGTCGTTATGATCATCATCAATCCTTCTCCTCCTGCTCCTCCTCCCCCCTCGCCCGAACCTGCTGGCCTTCCTCCTCCTTATCCCCACTTCTTTCCGCGGCCCGTGTGTCCTGGGCCAGGACCTGTGGGGCGATATGCCAGCCCCGGCGGCGCTGGACGATGGGCCCGTTCGGCGTGCCGCGACGGGGACGCGACAGATGGGTTGATCGAGGGCTGCAGGACAGGGCCCGTAAAGGCCCACCCCTGGAGCCCCGAAGGTGCACGAAAGGTGCACCTTCTCTCTCCCCCCCCCCAACGCAGCGCCCGAGCTCAGGGTGGTGGTTCGAGGCATCTGCATAAGCGTAATTTGTCCGAAGTTCGCACGGGAGTCTTGGATCTGCGCCAGAGCCTCCTGGCGGCGCTTCCAGCGCCACCCCTGGCACGCTGTGCGCGCCAGTGAGGAGCCAGCGACGATCCACCAAGTCCGGGCTGATCTCAGAAGGTGCACGGTTGCGCATTGGCCATTTTTTGTTAGCTCGAGGGGGACTGTGATTCACAGTAGGCTCACTGGGAAGCTTCGCATCTGGCCTTTTTCCCTCCTCATGCCTTCTCCTCTCACCTCGCAGCGGCTGCCCTTCTCCCTCAATTCCGCCCCGTCCTCTCTGGCCCGCTCTTCGTTCCCTCCCCCCACTTCCCCCCCACCCCTACTCTTCCTCCCCTCTACTCTGATGTCGCATGTCTTCCGTGGCTCTGGCCCCTGGGGATCTCGACCCTTTGGGTTGATGTCCATCAGAGTCATTTTTTGACAGTCCCGGATCCAGGAGAAGGCCCCCCAGAGGCCGAAAGTGTCCACAAACCAGCCGTCCTGATGATTTTTCGCGTCGCTGGGATCTGAGGGCCTTCTGACGACGACGACGACGCGACCGGCGAGGCCTACCCTGCCGACGTCGGCGCCAGGCGCCTCCCCCGGGGAGAGATCAGGGCACCGATGGGCGTGATACGCTCAGGGGGGGATGCATCGACCCCGAATCGCCCATGGATCCCAGGTAGGGGCCCGATGGCCCACCCCGCAAAAGGAGCGTCTGGACTCGCTACCCAGACGCCCGACGGCATGATTTTTGCATTACGTCGACCCCCAGAGGTCCCGACCCTTTCCCCAGGACCGGCTTTGCATCCTGAGTCGTCTTTTTCGACGGTCCCGAGGCCCGGTAAGGGCCCCCGGAGGCCGAAAATGGAGAAAAACCTCCCGTCATAATTTTTTCATTGCCCGAGGGGCTCTGAGTATCGAGAGCCTATCGCTGATCTGTCCGCGACACATCGCCGGTTTCAGGTCGTTCCCTCGCAGGGGAAGGCGCGGCTGGGCCGGCCTGGCACGCCCGCTCTCCCGCAGTCGGGTCTCCTTGCCCCTGGGAGCGCCGGCCTCGTGTCCCCACGGCTGACGCTTGGCGCCAGGAGGAGGGGGGGAGGAGGGGGGAAGAGAGGAAGAGGAGGGAGAAGAGGAGGAGGAGGAGGAGGAGGAGGAGGAGGAGGAGGAGGAGGAGGGAGAGGAGGAGGAGCAACAGGAGCAAGAGGAGCAGGAGGAGGGCAGATCAGGAGGAGGAGGAACAGGAGGAGGAGGAGGAGAAGGGGGAGGAGGAGGAGGAAAAAGAGGAGGAAGAGGAGGAAGAGGGAGGAAAAGGAAGAGGAGCAGGAAAAGGGGCAGGAAAAGGGGCAGGAGGAGGAGGAGGGAGAGGAGGAGGAGGACCAGAACACCATCCTTTGGACGTCGACGCCGCGGATCAAAGTAACTGTCGCGCCGTGACAAGTCTGAATCTTTCCGAAACACCGTTTCTGGAATGTTAGAAATGAAAACCAACGAAATCCTTGCAACTGTTTGAAACGAGTGTACGCGAAGCTGGAGCGGGAGCTACATTTTGAAAACAAGCCGCCCTCATTCCTTGAAGCTCCTGCACATGTTGAGGAAGAATGTGCGCGGCGCCAAGGCGAGAGTCATTAAAACAGAAGCTCGGCTTGTCCTGCATCTATAAGTTTTCGAACATTCATTCCTAGGCTCGTGTAAACGGGGGATCTCAGGGGGTGGCCGCTTCCTCTTCCTCCTGTTCACCTGATCTGGTATATTTGCAGCATTTGGGGCTCGAGGGATTTTTTGGCCCGTGGCTAGCGCCCGCGCCTCTCCCGCCCGCCCGCGAGCGCCCATCGCCGTCGGCGCTGGGGCGCGGCAGCGGCCAGCTGCCGCACTTGGCGCGGCCGTTTGCCACAGGGCGGTGCCCCTTGGCGCCACCACGGCGGCGACGCGGGCAACCGCGATCTTTCTGGTTGTGTGCACTCTCCTGGGCTTCGAGGGCCGCGTCGTTCTTGACGAGGACGCGGGTGCGGAGGATGCCGAGGGGAGCAAGGTCGGGTTCGAGCGGGTCGGCACCTCCCAGTGGCATCCGGACCGTGGGATGTCCCCGTGGCGCACGATTCCAGAAGTGGAATCTATCTATTGGTGGAGTGCCAAGGACGGCCCTGTCGGCGTGGTGATGCTCCTTCTGGACCGCGCGCCGAGCAAGGCCTGGGAGTGGACGGGTCTGGGCCCCGTCGGCAGGGTGCAGCTGATCAGCCCGAAGGACAAGGACGCGTGCGAAGCCACAGATCACGTAGATTTACCGCAAAGGTTTGAGCGTTCACAAGAAAGGCGGTCAGAAGAGGATCCCCTTTTCCCGAAGGTCAGCGCGGTGGGGGCCGTGACCGCTGCCGGACTGTGGGCGTGGGCTCGCCGAAGCTGGGGCCCGCTTGCAGGCTCGG